AAACATTAGTGGGAAACATATAAGTTCACTAACTAAAAAATTCACACAACTGATTGGGGTGATTTTACACTTCCAGTTGAAGTACAACACAAGCCATTTTATAGGCACTAATATATAGTCTACACCTTTTATAATCTACAGTCATATTGCCTTAAAAAGGGCTGGGTGGCAATAGATAATACAAAAATGTAAACATTATATTACTATGTTGCATTAAACGTTTTCAGCTTTTGATGTAGCTTTTATTTTGGGAATTGAGTCTTAATTATGGATTGTTGTTTATATGTTTGTGGAGGAGAAAAGTTAAATATTGCTCTTTCTATAACTGAAAAACTATATATAGGGAGAAGAACTTATGTGTGCAGAGAGAGAAAGAGACTGAATGGGAAAATGGTAACACTGCTATTTTAATGATCTATAATTATATCTTGCAAAATAATAATTGGGGTTACAGATTCCATAATAATAGGATTTATTTAACGTGTAATGACTTTGAGGAAATAGTTGTAAACTGAATAGTATTTAGGCACCTGCTTTATTTGTTTGTTTGTTTGCTTGGGCAACAACCTCAGGAAGTCCCTTTTACTCTCCTACTGGTTTCTTCACTACATTTGGGGCTCTGTACTTGCATTCCCCCAATCGATAGGACCGATGGAGCAGAATTAGGTGAAGTATTCAGCTCTATCCATTAGCAAACCTTGTTTTCCTCTTTAGACTTGGCTAGCCATCATGTCATTTTGTTAACATTATGTTACGTGGGAGGCAAAAAGACAGAATACAAGCTTCACTGTAATTTAGCCTTTCAATCACTGTTGTAGCCTGCATGAACAGACAGCTCCTGCCGCTAGCGCTCTATCCTTCCTTAGCCCATTTCATTTCTTACTACTGTGCAATGGATGATGATTTACTGTGGAACAATAAACTGTTTTCATCACAATTTGCCCTGTAGAAATTTTCTTTTAATGTTTATATTTTTAGCTCTGTAAAGTAACTGCCCCCTTACCAGTCAGGTTTTCCCTCCGGCCTAGTTGATAACTTGCCTTTCCTACCCACATGCTTCACTTTATTTCCTGATCATAAATTATAGAGTGTATAATAATCCCTGCCCTGTAAACTCCTAGCATTTCACTATCTTTGCTCAGACAACCTTTACTGGGGCCAGCAAAACTGAGTAATTCAGCCATAAGACCTTAAGAAAATGACCCTGTTGCCTCAAGTATCTGCAAGCCAGTGGAAGGATGGAAGGACCCAATTTTGTGGAACTAGTTTTATTGTATCCTCCTCTAATATGATTTTTCTGTAGGTTAGTTATTATGGTATCTTTTACCTGACTTCTCAGTTGAAAGCAGTTTGATATCACCATTATCGTTTCCTATTATAAACTTTGAGAAGCAGTCTAAATGCATTCAAGTCCCTCTGAATGGAACTTTGGAGAGGTAATAATATTAGTCTGCTGCAGCAAAATCACGGAAGAATAGCAAATGTTTTAATGTAAGATTTCATCCATTTCATCTGATACATGATTATCAATAGCAAGTGTATACTCAGACCTGCTTAACCCCACGTTTGTTTGCCTGCCATGCTTGGTATTGAAACTTACTTGGGTAAAATGGCACATTATTTGTGTGATCTTGAGGTTCCATCTCAGCGTAGGGCCTTCTTTTTGGCCAGAGTAAATTCTTTTCCTTCCAAGGTACTTTTCAGAAGGTATAAACACATCCCCAATCACAAGAGGCTCTGTTCTTGCGGCACTCCCGATACAATCCACCATATAATTTTTGACTGCCACTTAGTTGAGACTCTCTGCTACGAACTGCTTTTAAAACCTTTGCAGGGCACATACCCATGAAACACTGTCTCATCCTGCCAAATTTTATTGAGAGACGCCATGCTTGCAATTACTAGAATTGTTGCTAAATTCTTGGAGGAAGTACTCAAAAGTAAACGCAAACCATTTCCACAAAGAGTAGGGCTACCCCTCTGATTAATTTTCGATATGTAACTGTGTGTTTTTATACTTTCTTTTTCGTCCTTTTAATGCCAGTAAAGGTTTGATTGAACATATTGAACAATAGCAAGTATATAAAAACTAGGGATGAGGGTTTTAAATAATCAGTTTTGATCATTTAAAATATTGGAAATCTTCATAATAAAATATTCAAAGGCTGTGTTGACAATTGCTTCTTAATCTGCATCTAATTTCATCTAACACTACTTCTTAATCTGTATGATTTTTTATTTTTTTTTTGCTGTGTTTTTGTAGTGGTATTCCTCTTCAGGGGTTTTTCCCAAACTTGGCAACTTCCAGATGGGTGGACTTCAACTTCCAGAGTTTCCTGCCCATAGCCTTGACCCTTCTGACACTTCTACAGATTCTCGGAGGAAGCTCACCGATTCCTAAAGCATGAATAGGCCAAAAAAGTACTGACATAACATGTGCTAGAAAGACAATTATAAAGGCAATATGCTGATGTAGGCTTTCACAGCTGGCATCAATAAAGCAGTGATGAGCTTTCCTGTTGAATGGCCACGGTCTAGTTTTCTTTTGTTTCTGTCATTTCACCAGCAGCCGTGGCTGACATCTTCAGAGGCAGAGTAAGCTGCTTTGTGGTGTACCTCTTGACAGCTCACAGGCAACTGAACTGGGCTGACTGGGCTCTTGTATTTGAACCTGGAAAGCTGATCTCTGATTGGTCCATATCACGGAAGTCCAAGAAAGCTGGTTGAAAAAGGTGATCATTCCATCATCATACCAGCACCTCAGCTGGCTTGAAGTGTTAGTCCTTATGGGCCTCAGTGCTTCTAGTGAGAATACATTTGCAGAATGTGATCTGACATTTGTCAATCAGTTCTTTTCCCAATAGTACCAATAATATTTAATTAGTAGTCTTCCAAGAAGTGGCTAACCTTCTGAAAGTATTTTAGCAGTATCAAATGAACTCTAACAGAGACTGAAGACAGCCTTAGCTTTCTACTTAAATTCATGGCCCAAGCAACACTCACTTTCTCATCCTACTTCCAACTCACTGACCTATACATTATACTGAGTATTTTGTGTATGTGTTGTTTCATCGGATTGTTGTACACCGCCCAGAGTCGCTTTTGTGAGATGGGCGGCCATACAAATTTGATTAACAAATTAATAAAATAAATAAAACACTAGCAGACATTCAGATTAATATTCTTCACTGGTCTTTTTCATAGGAAAATGTCTTAGCTTTCAAAAACTGTTCTTATTAATAGCAAAACTGAACTAATTATAGGTAGTCCTCACTTAACAAGTACAATTGGAATTTAGTGAGGTCACTAAACAGAATTTAGGTCACTAAGTGATGCTGTTGTTAAGCAAATTGTCATGTGACCAGATCCAATTTTATTACCTGTTTTGCAGCAGTTAAGTGAATCACTGCAGTCAATTAGTGAATCATGTGGTTGTTAAGTGAATCACATGGTCATTAAGTGAATCATGCAGTTGCCCATTGATTTTACTTGCCAAAAGCTGGCTGAGAAGGTTGCAAATGGAGATCATGTGACTTCGGTACGCTGTAACCCTCATAAGTGCGAGTTGGTTGCCAAGCGCCTAGATTGCGATCACATGACTGTGAGGGTGCTGCAACAGTCATAACTTCAGGCACCAGTTGTAAGTCACTTTCTTTAGCGCCGTCGTAACTTCAAAGGGCTGCTAAACAAACAGTCATTAAGTGAGGACTACCTGTATTAAATGGAGGGGTCAGAGCTATCTTCCCTAAACCTGGTCTATTGTCAAATAGAATTCATCACCTAGATGAATTTAGAATAATGTCTGGGTTAATTGCTGTCTTTGGTTAGTCTTTCTCATCTGCTATACAGTATATCTTATTTATAATTTTGTTATGTTATTTTTATCTTGTTTTAAAGTATTATTAGCTGCCCAAGTGTCATGAATTTGAGATGGGTGGTCATACAAATTGAATAACAAAATAAAATAAATAATATAGATATTTCTATTGCTTTAGTGTGTATATTAAAAAAGGAGGAAAAATATAGTGATAACATTCAAATTTGGTATATAATTCAAATCACATTCACATCTCAAATACACTATTCTTCCCAAAACCTTATTAACAAACCATGAATGTTAAATCAAAATAGGGTGATGATGGGTCAAGCTGATATTATATGCATAATTACCACTGCCATCATTTTATACTTCTAGCATATTGTGGTTGACACTTTTTAAAAACTTCCTCTGAGGTGTCAAATAAACACTGAAAAAAATATTAAATACATTTCATAAATTGGATCGTAAAAGACTTACTTAATATTTTTAGCACCCTTACCCATTAATGCTTAATATGGGGTATTCCACCTCTTTGTTCCAAAGTTCTTGCAGATAACTCATATCCATATTATTAATAGTTGCTGGTTGTCTATTTAAAAAATGCTGTAGATTTTGAATCATCCAAAACACATGTCTATTTCTTTATGGGATGTAATGATGAAATTCAAAAGCCACTATGGGCACAATGACAAAGTGATTATGTGACACACACACACACACACACACACAAACACACACAGGGGTTTGGCTCCATTTTTAACCATATTTCTGTGTCCAGCATTAGAAAAAGCGGGACAAATTTGGACGCTGATAGGCTGGAACTATAATTTTTGACCCTTATTCACGTGATAAATATACATTTTGAGATATCCCTTGGTTGAAAATTGCAGATCTTTGGAAAAGGGGCAGGATCATGGGCTAATAGGGACTTATTATCAGGTTTTTAAACCATCTGAGTTACTGCAAGAGGAATTTGAATTGTATAAAACAGTGTAATGGCAGTATACTCAATTAAAATACCTCTTGATTTCACATTTTAGAAAACATGCTAGCAGAAACTAAAATTGTTGAAGGTACAATATAGATATAGAGGAATACAATTGGCATGAATACTGGGTAATATTACACACTGCCTGTACAAACTGCAAGCTTAATAAAGTTCTTTTATTTTTTCATTAAGGCCAGAACTCCATTTGAGGCATTGATGAAGCCTTCCACATTACAGCATATTGAAGGACGAAAGATAGATCATACTGAGAAGTCAACTATGGTAATTCAATGTCATGTACAGCAAAAGAACAACCCCATAAAAGAAATAATGGTTACCAGAAAATAATCAACGCACTGGAACTGTTAATGCTTAGGAGAATGTAGAATTCTCAAAAAATTCTTGCATTTAGAAGAAAGGGAATCTATTATTACTTATGTATTGTATTTATATCCCACTGCCATCCAATGACTCTCAGTGGCTTACATGATATTATTACTTTATTTTATGAATGAAGCTAAACTTGCTTGTTGTCATAAGAACCATATATATTTACAGCTGTTTTCAGATAAAACCACTATCACATTTTCAGTAGCAATGATAAACAAGTCCCATAATCAATCATTTGTCCTGTGGTTCCTCATGTACTAGGAAAACACACTCCTATTGATTTTGAAAACAAAGTCTTGTTGAATGCTGAATTAGTTGATTTTCTTAAAAGCTCTGTAATTGTCCCTGATTACTTATTTGACATTTTCATGCTTATTTAGAAAAACAAAAACAAAAACAAAAATTCCCAAATCCTCATAGAAAATCCTACTTTGAGGGATTACAGCAATCCTTCCAGTCTCTAATTTTCAGGCTAATTTTTTCTCCATAGCATATGGCAGGAAACATCAGGAAGGGAGAAAGGTGAACACCAGAGCCAAGTGAAATCTATAGGGAAATAACTTTGTCCCCCACCCTTGCTTAGATCATTAAGAATGGAGTCCTTTTAAAATAATTTAATTCACTAATTAATTCCAAATTTGATAATTTACTTAATAAACTAATATTAATAATTAATAGTTAATTAATTTAACTGGTGTGCGCTAAATGTAATCATTTTATTTTAAATGATAAGAATACGTTTTAACTGGCAATCAGTTTAGCATTCATTTTTTCTAGTCTTGTTATAGATCATACTATAATTTCCGTACAACCTGTGAGTTGAGAGAGAAAGACATATTATTTGGAAAACAGAGTCTCTCCAGCTCCTTTAGAATAATGGTTCATTATCCAGTTCCTTTAATATATGAACTTTATCTGATCCTTTTTTTGAGTAGAGCTACTGACCAAATTGTACTATGCCATTTTTCAACTGATAAATTATCTAAGTATTTCTACTGAATGATTAACGATTCACCTACCAAAAATAAAAACACAATAGGTTTCTTGCTATTTAACCTAATATTCTGTCCATAATATACGGAGTGCAAAATGCACACCAGTGCAAAGTGGCTGCAGGATCTGAGAGCAGACCACAGCAATCTCCCAGGACAGAAAGCAGTCACCATCACAATAGCAGACATCCAACAGCGGGTCAAGAACAAGAAGAGCTGGACAGCACTTGGCCCGGACATGATCCACACCTACTGGCTAAAGAAACTAACAGCAGTGCATGAATGCCTAGCAGCACAGATGAACCAGATAGGCTCCCACCCAGACTGGCTAACACAAGGAATAACAGTGCTGATCATGAAAGACCCCCACAAGGGAACAGCACCATCCAACTTCCGGCCAATAACCTGTCTCCCCACAACATGGAAAGTTCTATCAGTCATTATAGCCATCAAGCTACAGGACCATATGGGCCAGTACATGAACACAGATCAGAAGGGCATTGGGAACAACACCAGAGGCTCAAAACACCAGTTGCTCATAGATAGTCACTCAAGTCTCAAGGACTAGACTGACCAATGAGCACAGCCTGGATTGACTACAGGAAAGCCTACAACCCAATGCCACACACATGGGTTTGTGAATGCCTGGCACTATACAAAGTCAACAGGACACTAAGGACTTTCCTCAAGAACTCAGTGGGATTGTGGAAAGCAACATTGGAAGTCAACTTAAGACAGCTTGCGCAAGTGGCCATCAAGTGTAGCATATACCAAGGGGATGCACTGTCCCCACTGCTGTTCTACGTCTTGAACCTCCTCAGCCAGATAATCACAAGGACTGGATATGGATAAAAGTTTAAGAGTGGAACTACCATCAGCCACCTCCTTTACATGGATGACATCAAGCTAAGAGTATGCTAAGAGTGAACGAGATATCGACTCACTGATCAACCTGACACAGATCTACAGTGAAGACATTAGGATGTCATTTGGACTGGAAAAGTGTGGCCGGATGGTAGCAAAGAGAGATAAGGTAGTTAAAACTGAGTGAACTGGGTGTACAACTGGGTGAAACTACCAGCAGGCCACATGGCAGATATACAGACAAGCTACAAGTACCTTGGTATCCCACAGTGACATGAGAACCATGATAAGGAGGCAAGGGAGACAGAACATCCAAGTACCACCAAAGGGTAAGGCAGGTCCTGAAGATTCAGCTTAATGGGAAGAACAAGATCCACACCATAAACACATATGCCCTACCAGTCGTCAGATCCCTGCCAGTATCATGAGCTGGCCAAAGGAGGACATGGAGGCTACCAACGTGAAGACCTGGAAGGTCTTCACAAAGTATGGAGGTTTCCACCCCAAGTCCAACACCTGAGACTGTACACCAGCCGGAAAGAGGGCAGGTATGGTCTAGTGAGTGTAAAAGCCACTGTTCTGGATGAAACTCAGAGCATCCAGGAGTATATCAGTAGAATGGCACTCAAAGGTGAGCTGCTGAGAGAATGCCTGAGGCAGCAGCAGACATGGGAGGAAGTTCAAGTGGAGGAAGTGCCATGGCAAGACAAGCCCCTGCATGGGATGTACCATCAACAGATGCCTGAGGTGGCTGACACTGGGAAATCCTACCAGTCCCTAGAAAGGGCTGGACTAAAAAACAGCACTGAGGCACTGATCATAGCAGCACAAGAACAGGCACTAAGCATGAAATCCATAGAAGCAGGGGTCTACCACACTAGACAGGACCCAAGGTGCAGACTGTGCAGGGAAGCCTCAGAGTCAGTCCAGCACATAGTGGCAGGGTGTAAGATGCAGGCAGGAATAGCATACACTGAATGGCACAACCATGTAGCTGGCATTGTGTACAGGAACATCTGCACAGTGTATGGGCTAGACCCTTCCAATTCCAGATGGGAGACTCCACAGAAGGTCATGGAGAGCAACAGGGCTAAGATCCTGTGGGACTTTCAGATCCAGAGAGACAGGGAGGTCCTGGGCAGTCAACCAAACATCATGGTAGTAGACAAGGATCAGAAGACAGCAATGGTGATAGATGTAGTGGTGCCAAGTGACAGCAACATCAGGAAGAAGGAGTATGAGACACTGGAGAAGTGTCAGAGTCTGAAAGAGGAACTAGAAAGGATGCAGAAAGCAAAGGCCAAAGTGGTCCCAGTGGTGGTAGAAACACTCAGGGCTGTGACTCCCAACCTGGGAGAATGGCTCTACCAGATCCCAACAACAGAGCTCTCTGTCCAGAAGAGTGCAGTGTTAGGAACACCCAAGATCCTGCTCAGAATCCTCAAACTCCCAGGCCTCTAGTAGAGGACCCGAAATTGAGGAAGACACGTATCAGCCATAGGGGTGAGAGGGGATTTTATGTATGTATGTATGTATGTGTGTGTGTGTGTGTGTGTGTGTGTATGTATGTATATATATATATATCAATCCTAATGTTGGTGAAAATATAATTCTTTGTTAAATTGTAACATTCAGTTCACTAAAAGCTTTTTTTCTAAATATCTAATACTTTTTCACATGTCCACCAAAGGGGAAAGAATGTTTCCTTCTGTTTACAATCCCTCTAACATTTTGCTGAATAATTATAGGATATTTGTGCAATTCTAATGGCAGTTAATTGACTTGGATGCAAAATCTTCAAATAGAATTTCTTCATAGAAGCCAATAAAATTCCCCCAGATTAACACAATGCTTGCCATTATCATCCAGTTGTCTTCCCAAATCAATCTCCTCGGGTTCTTCCAAACATAGGAAAAGTTTTCTTATATCTGTTTCCAATAATAGCATCTACTTTTCAGAGATCATGCCTTTAGGCTGAGAAGAGTATTTTATTATTAATCCCCCCCCCCAATTAATGGATGATTTATTTAAAAGGAATTTATTTGAATCCATAGGAGTCACAGTATTTTATATTCTAATTGCTGTTCTAATTCTTCTTTAGGATAAGGTGTGGGATTCTTATAAACATCTCTCATTCTGTATAATCCCTTATCTTTCCACATTTTCACTTGGCTATTTTTGTAAACTCCTTTCTTTAAATAATCCTCCCACACAATCAAAACCTTTCAGTACAACCAATGAACATATTGATAAAGGGAATACATTTTCTTTAGAAAAGAGCATAGTATTTATAAGTTTTAATGGTGCTGGCTATAGTTCTCTTGGAAATAAATCCAGATATATAATTTTATTTATAATTAATTTGAGATGGTTGACTAGCAATATAGTATACAGTTTATAAGCAGTGTCCTTAATATAACCATTGTCTAACACTTCGCTATGAAAGTTTGACTCAGATGGAGTGACAGGAGGTGCCATGAAGTTTATTCTAGGCTACATAAATGCAGTGATGGGTATAAGGGAGAAGAATTAAGAATAAAAAATTAATTCTAGCCCAGGGAATAGGATATGTATTGTTTCATGACATGACAACCTTTCCACGTACCCTCTATTTTTATTGATAACGTTGGAGTAGTAGTTTCTCTAAAATGGTATTTTTTGGGATTACAGTGGGTGTGACATGTTTTAGTAAATACAAAAAGCAGGGGATGATTTGCAACAGAAAGGCTATGGACAGATTTCATAAAGATATATTATCATTGTTATTATGATTATAGACTCACAATACAATAGATGCCCTAGTTTATTTCATTTTTGAAACCTGTGGATTTCATAAAATAGGTTTTGTAAACTCCGTGGTGAATATTGCTAAGATAGGGCTAGATTCATTTCTGGATTCTTCATTAGTTCATATAGCACAGTTCAATGGGGTCATCAGGCAGTATTCAGTGCCAATACAAAGTTGTATCAGAAACCTGTCTTAGCTTGCCACCTATGGTCAGATTGCCTCATGACAAAAAGAGCTCTCCTTTGTCAATATTCCTAATTATTGTATTAGGAACATTTTGTAAGCTGAAAAGGGCATGCCACCAGAGGAATGTGTTCATAAGGTAAGTGCTATCATTTGCTTAAAATCAGACTGAGCATGAGGAAAATGTATCATTTGGGTGGGATACCAGCTACTTTCCTAGAGGAATACCACTCTATATTAGCTCTGAACATGAAAGACCCATGAGGAATAGAAGCATAAAAAGACAAGTACATTTCTCTCCTATATCTACACTTGTCCATCTTGTTTGAAATATAATTTTCTTTCCTCCTGATCTGCAAAAATCCTAATTAAGAATATATAGA